CGCAGGCGGTGGCTTAACACATTGTGCCACAGCACCTGCCCCTTAGCTGTTACTATTGTGTTTTTTTTTCATTTTTAACATTTATTTATTTATTTGAATGGCAGAGTTATACAGAGAGGAGGGGGAGGGCGAGGAAGAGAGAGAGAGAGAGAGAGAGAGAGAGAGAGAGAAAGAGAGAGAGAGCACGCTAGTGCTTCCATCTGATGGTTCATTTCTCAAGTGGCCACAGTGGCCAGGGCTAGAGCCAGGCTGAAGCCAGGAACCTGAAACTCCATCCGTAGCATTTGGGTGGCAGGGCCCAAGCACTTGAACCATCGTCCACCACCTTCCCAATCCCATTAGCAGGGAGCTGGAATGGAAGCAGAGTAGCTGGGACTCAAACCAGCGCTCCCATATGGGATGGCACTTTGCTACAACAATGGACTCTTTCACTTTTTAGTTGAAAGGCAGAGAGACAGAGACAGACACCCAGAGATCCTCCACTTGTGAGTTCACCACCCAAGTGCCCACAGTGGCGAGGGCTCGGCCCAGCTGAAGCCAGGAGCCCAGAACTCAGTGCAGGTCTTCCTGTGGGCTGTCATCTGTGGGCTCCCAGGTGCACAGTGGCAGGAAGCTGGAATCAGGAGTGGAATCAGTCAGGACTCAAACCCAGGCGCCCAGAGGTGGGATGTGGGTGTTTAACTGCTGGGCCCGATGTCTGCTAATGTCTGTGGTTCTAACTGGCTTTGTTGTACCGTTCTGCCCACCATCGCTAGGAAGAGGCTGGGCTGGGCTGGGCTGTGTAGAGTGTTGCGGGCAAAGCATGCCTCTGGGATCTGTATCCCGCATCCTGCCCTGGCCCTCGGGGTGAGACCCCTTCCTCCCTCACCCTCTGCAGACGTCAGTTTGGGAGGACCAGAGGGGTGCATTCCATCTGTGCTCTTGCCCAGCCCTCTGCGCTCCAGGAAAGACGGCTTGGGACTTGAACCCAAGAGCTGGCCCCCCATTGGTGCTTTGCCTTTCGCCAGTCACTCCCATCCTGGGGGTCTTAGGTTTTTACCGTCCATTAAGCTGTCTCCTGGGACCCTGTGATATCTTGGGGAGGCTCCCTCTGCTGGCCAGGCTGACTCTGCCTGCCCCACCCGCCACCCCCTTGCCTAGCCAGGCGTGAGGGGGCGAGTTCCCGCGTCTCCATGGGGACTAATCTCCAAGAAGGTCAGCGAGGCTCTGCTACTGCCTTGGCCGGATGGGGATTAGCACCTGACTGTGAGCGCCCCGTCCAGGCTCCCCACTCTCACACAGGTCCTGGATGGCCTCCAAGCCCAGAAGTTCCAAGGCTGGGCCAGAATCAGCCCAGGCGGTGGGGGCAGGACAGCCGCCACAGCTGCTGGGCTATCCAGCTGTGACTGCAAGGGAAAGGTGGAGAGACGGGGTCAGGTCTGTGTTCCTCACTGCTCATGGCAGTCCGTGTCCAGCCAGGGCCTGGCCCGTGCGCCTTTCCACCTCCTGGCTTTTAATAGGGGGAAAGGATCTCCCACGACCAGGGCATCACTCCCCACTCCAATCCTGGCTGTCCCCATTTGCTGCCCACCTGGGAGCCAGGGGCCACCTCTTCATCCTCCGTGGGGTTAATCTACCCCTGGTGGGATGGGGGCTGCTTCCTCAGTTTCCCCTCCCTCTACACAGACTGTGCCCCCCGCCCCCGCCCCGGCTGCCGCACCTCTGACCCCCGGCTTCCAGGTCCTCAGCCTCTCTGCAGTTTCCACGTCTTGCTCTCGCCTTGTCCCTAGGTGTGTGCCTCTCGACCATCTTCTCTGGCTGCCCTCTGGGGATCTCTGCCTCCAGCCTCACTCTCTGGGGGTTCCGCAGCCTCCCTGGGCGTTGAGCTCTCCCCTGTGGCTCTGGGGACCACACCACTGTCTGTCCGTGCGTCCTTCTGCCACTGTTCCGCAGCCTCTTTGCCCATCCTCTTCCCCTCCCCACTGCTCCGAGCCCGTTTCCCAGGCCCCTGGCTGCTGCACCTGCTCCTGCCCTTTCCGTTCCCCCCACTACCTGCCCCCTCCCCCACCCAGGGTGCTGACAGGGACGACAGGAAGCAGGCCAGGGCTTTGGGCAGGAGGGGGAGGGAGCCCTCCTCGCACACCAGCTGCTGAGCACCCCCATTCAGCCCGGCACCTGCAGGCCTGCCAGGCACCCGAGACTCCGCCCCAGCCCGGCAGGGGAGGAGGGACCTGGAAGGGTGACCAGATCCCCAGTAATGGCCAGGAAATGCGGGCCTAGGGGCGGGGTGGGGTCTGAGGGGACCAGGCTCTGGGGGAGGGGAGGGGCAGTGGTTCTGTCACAGGGGCAGACCCCAGCCCACTGGATGGCTTCATGCTTCTCACCACCCGTTCCTCCGAGGACCTGTGTGTGTGCATGGTGGGGGGAATCATCCCGGGAGGAGGTATCTTTGTTGTGCTGCCTTAGGATCTGGAATCCCAGCTGGAGAGGAGCTCTAGCCCCCTTTCCATGATGGGGGGAGGGGCGAGGAAGCCCTCCAAGGCACAGGGAAAGTGTGCCCACGCTAGGTCAAACAGGCAAACAGGAAGGGCTGGGCGGAGGGGACAGAAGCCTGGCCAGGGAGGCCAGGCTGGGGCTGCACCCACCTCCCACCCCCACCCGGGGCTGCTCCCTGCAGAGCCCACCTGCAGCCCACTGTCTACCCAGACCTGCCTGCTTGGGGGGTGTCAGAGCCGTCTCAACCCCTCCCCTCTTTCCATGCCAGGGACTCAGCAGGAGACCCTGGGAGGCCTCTGGAAGGGTGGGGGACAGAGTGGGTGGTGGGAGAGGGTGTGAGGCAGCACCTCCAGGAATATCCAATTTCACGCTACTTTTCCCCTTGTTGCTGTCTCCATGGGGGTGGCCTCAGCCTGGTGTGTGGGACCACAGGTACCCACCGTGCTCACCTAAGGGGAAACTGGGGCTTCTACTGCTATCTAATGAGCCTTCCTCCACCTCCCCACCTCCAACAGGCCCCTCTCTGGGGCTGGCTCAGCACCCTGGGGAAGAAGGAGGACAGCTGGAGTCCCAGGGCAGAGCCCGCCCCAGCTCAGCCATCCCCAAGGCTTGTGTGGAGTCCTCCAAGCAGGAGGCAGTCCCCCATCTCCTCCTCCACCCCTGCACATCTGGAAAGCAGGGGTGATTTGTCCTAGTGGGGTTGTGCCCACCCGGCCAGGGTGGGGATGGAGGCTGGTGAACGAGAGAAGAGAGATGGTGGAGTCTGGGAAGGGAGTGAGCCGCTGTGCCTGGGGACCCTGAGTTTGGCCTTTCCTGTCAGTCTGTGTCAGCCATGGTTACCCTGACACGGGGACCAGGAAGGTGGCAGGGAGTGAAATCCAGGGATTCCAGCAGCATCCAAGAGATGGGGAGGAATGGATTTGGGGCTCGGGGTGGCCCTGCCCCACCCAGATTTTCCACACCTCCCAGCCTCTCTCTTGTCAGGGCAAGGGGCTCAAGAGCATGGCCAGGAGCCCAGGAACCAGGATATGGAGGTGGGGAGGCCCCAGCCCTGTGGGAGGCCAGACCCCTGGTTGAGAGATGGGACAGAGCCCGAGAATCAGGTTTCCACCCCCGGAGCGGCTCCTGTTTCCCTTGGCTCACAGCCCCCCCCTCCCCGGCCATCCGGTGGAGCCTGCTCGGCCCGGTCCGGATCACCCGGGATCCAGCCGGGCAGCCCAGAAGCTGCAGGGCTGGCCAGAGTGGGCGGGCAGGGCCGGATGGCAGCCGGATGTCTCCCGGGAGCGGCGACAGCCTCTCCGACCCGTATGGTAGCGGCAGCGGCGGTGGCGGCGATGGCAGGTGCCTGCGTGGCGACGGGACCGGGCCCTCTCCCCGGGCGGGTGCTGAGAGGCCGCCCCTGCCTCACGCGAGCCGAACGAACAAAACGCTCAGGTCCGGTTTGTGCGAGGGGCTCGTCGCGGGGCGGGAGCGGGCGGCCCGGGGCCTGGCGGTGCCCTCGCTGGTCTCCTGGCTGGTCCCGGTCTTCCGCGAGCGCAGTTCCGCGCGGCGCTCCGCTAGCCGCCGCCCTCACCTGCGCGCCGCTGTAGCTGACACGTCGGCGGCCACCGCAGGTGCGCTTGGGCCCGCCCCTCTTCCAGGCCGCCCTCCACCCGGCCCTCCCGGTCCCTCCGCCCTGCCGGGGCCCTGTTTGGCTTGGTCCCCAGCCCACGCCCCGGAGCTTGTGCAGGAGCTGGGCTCAGCTCACTCTTATACGGCCCGCTCAGTCTCCGCCCCTACACACACGCGCGCGCACGCACACACACACACACACACATACACACACTCACTCACACCTGTCCCGGCGCCCGTTTGCTCGGGGCAAATATTGACTCATGGAGGCGGAGCGCCCCCTCCCCCGCTCAGGCACTGAGACGCAGGCCTTGGCGGAGGGGGTGGAGGGGAGGGTGCTGGGGACCTGGGCGCCTCTGGAACAACACCAGATGTCACTTTTCCACCCACCTGCGGGGGCGGGGGAGGCGGGGAGGAGCCGAGGAGCGGAGGACCAGGCTGCTGGGCGCGGGTGAGGGGGAATGAAGGAGTGGGTGTCCCAGGCAGGACGGGATCGGCGTCACGGTGGGAGTGATGGCCTCGACCGGCGCCCCAGGCCCTCCACTGCGTGCCTCAGTTCCCCTCTTTCCCAAACTCCTGGCAGAGTTTCCGGGAACTGGACAAATGTTGAAAGGCTGGCCGTCGGGAAACAGGCGTGGGATGGCGGTGCGTGTGGAGGTGGGGGGGAACGCCTGCTTCGCCGACCGGTCCTGGCGCTCGATTCCCGTCCCCCAGGGAGCGCCCTCCACCGGCCAGACCACGCCCAATGCCAGGCCGTGAGCGGCGGGAACTCTGGCCCAGCTGCGGGGCGCGATGGACAGGCGCTTTCTCCCAGTTTGGCAGGTACTTGCCGGGCCGCTGCAGCCCACCTGGCCTCGGGAGCGCGCGCGCACGTCTCCGCGTTGGGGAAATCAAGTCAAGAGAGGCGCAGAGGAAGAGCGGGATGCTTTACTGGGGGGCTGAGAAAACCTAGGGCAGCGGGTTAGCGGGGCTGGGGATAGGCGTCGTCAGAGAGTCCACACGAGGTGGCGCCGCCTGGCGGGGTCCCTCCGCTTTGTGCACTGACATCTGGTCCGGGTTCAGATACCTGGAAGACAGAAAGCCCCAGGCAGTTGTGTGGGCGGGGCTCCGGGACGAGCCAGCCCCTCGCGCCCCTCCCACCGCGTGCGCGCATTCGCTGGGCCCCACCTGGGCGCACTGAGCGGCGGCAGGGCGATGATGCGTGGCCGTGAGGTGAGCACCACTTCTCCTCGGCTCGCCTCCACAAGGACGTTCAAGATCATGTTCTCTAGCAGCGCCTCCTGCAGGTTGGCGAAAGCCTGCAGCCTGCCAGAGGCGGGGCGCCGGCGTCAGCACGGCTGCCATTGCACCTCCACCCGGGAGGCCATGCTCCTCGGCGGGGTACAGCGTGCTCCACGTCCATTCTCATTTAACACTCCCCACCCCTCCCGTCAGCACTGTGGGGCATGCTCGTTCCGGTTTCACAGATTCTCCAAGTTCGGCTGAGACAAGCCAGGTTGCCAAATACGCTGCTGGTAGAAGCGGTGGGGTTCAAACCCGAATAACTGTAATCCCCACTCAGCATCAGGCTAGGAGTGGAGACAGGCAGGGGTGAGAGGCTGCGGAAGGGACGTGGGAGTTCCAAGGACAGAACCCATCCATGAAGCAGCCCGGGGCGAAGGGGGTGCGAGAAGCCGCTGCTGAGCTTCTGGCTCTAGAACCCCCTGGAGGAACCAGCCTCCGCGGAGGTGGCTCAGTTTCGCTGGTTCTGGTTCTGGATATATTCCCACCAAGGCCCTAAGCCACTAACATGATGTCGCTGAATGCCAAGTTGGGAAGAGACACATGCATAGGCAGGGGCCAGCCTCCACACAGCGCCTTTCCTGGGCACCTGCACGCATTCCCTCCCCCCCCACCCCCCGCTGAGCCCTGCCTGTGCCCGGCCTCTCACCTCCTGATAGCCTCCTTCTCGTCCTGCTCTTGCTCCTCTTTGATCATGGCCTTCAGCTCCTGCTGCCACTGCTGCAGTAGGGACTGCCCCGACTCGGGCTGCTGCGTGGGCTCATTCCCCAGCGAGGTCAAGTTTTCTTCCTTCTGTGTTTCCTCCTCCTCCATGTCCTCCTTGTACAACTCCTCCTCCTCTTGTACCTCCTCTTCTTCCTCCTCTTCCTCCTCCAACTCCTCCTCTTCCTCTTCACCCTTCTCCTCTTCCTCCCCCCTGGCCTTCCTCCCCAGCCCCGGTTTGTTCTCCTGCTCCTTGCCTTTCCCATCCTCCCCAATGCTGGAGGACACAGACAGGACTGGCATCAAGTATAGGCTGCTCTTCTGGGCCGCGAACCTGGCTGACTGCTCATTCCAGAACTGGCAGAAGTAAGGCACCTGCTCCACCAGGCTCTGGCCAACAGCTTCGTGGAAGTTCTTGTCTTCCAGCAGGCCCCTGGGAGGCAAGGAGGAAGAGGAGGTCTGGGCAGGCCTGGCTCCAGCTCCCCGAAGAGCAGTTCTTGGCTATTTTCACCAGCAGGGGTTCAACTGGGGAGGGGAGCCCCTGGTCAGTAGCTTCTCCCATCTCTTCTCTAGAGGAAGGCGTTGTGGGGCAGCATGGGTTCTCAGAGGTGACCAGGCTAAGGTGGAGGCAGAGCCCACAGGTCAGGTGAGGGACAGGCATTCTGGGAAGACAGGATCTGGTTCCAGCCTCATTGAGCAGCCATGAAATGGGACAGAACTCGGGACCCAACCCTGAGGCTCCCTCCAGCCAGCTCCACTAGACCTGTCCCATCCCGGGCCCCCACCACCCCGAAAGTAAGATCTTGCAGGGAAGTCTGGTATAAAGGATGCCAAAGCGGGGTTTCAAGGGGCTGTGGCCGGACGGGCCGGAGCCGCACCTGATGATGGCGGTGAGACAGTCCTCTAGGAGCTGCCGCTTCTGCTTGGAAACGGGACCCCACTTGGGGCCAGGGGGTTCTTCCTGGAACGTCGTGGACTCCTGCCTGGGGGTCCTCCTCTTTGGCAGCTCCCTGGGGGAGGCCAGGACATCCTGAGTGGCCTGGGCCAGCCACCATGCTGGGGTTGGGGGCACAAGCAATGGTGGTGGCTTCCCAGTGGGGAGGACGTGGATGAGTCTGAGCCCCAGTCTTGGCCCAAAGGCAGTGCTGCCACACTCAGGGAGCCAGGGCCAGCGCTCACGGGCAGTGTAGGGCCCAGGCAGACTCCAGGTTGGAAAGCAAGGAGCAATGAGGGGTGAGGAGACCTCGGCAGGTTCCCTGAGGGGCTCTGGCTGCCTTGTCCCTCTCCTTCTAAGGGCCTATGCAGTGAAGAGGGACATCTAGGCCTGGTGGTTCCACTGCCCCTGCACTTGCTCCAGCCCTCACCAAAGGTTGGGTCCAGGCAGCCCCTGCCCTGGGGTGGGAGAGAGGGGACAGAGAGTAGAGGAAGGACACTCCTGACCCTGAGAGTTCACCTGTGCAAGAAGTGGCAGGGGAAGTCTGAGAAGAAGTTGGCCAGGAAGCAGTGGGTGGCATGGGCCCGGGCGGTGAGGCCCAGGCACAGCATGCCTGGTGGGGGCGGCTTGGGGCACGGCCAGGACAAGTCCTCCTTTGGGATCTGCAGGTTCCAGCTGGCAGGCCGGTTGGGAGACTGCTGGCTCCTGATGGGTGGCAGCGTCTTTGGGAAGGGGAAGACATGGGTGACAGGCATCTGGGGACCGCACTCCTATCACAAACAGGTCCCCTGGCCTGGTCTCCTAACCAGACCCTTTGGGCCACAAAAGGGTACAGCCCCTCCCTCTGTACTTTCACACCTCCTTTCTAGAGGTAACTCTGGGAGGAAGCAAGGACACTCCCGAGTTACCCCAAGAAGGTGGGCCTGGGGCCGACAGCCTCACCTTGTACTTCCTTGCAGGCTCACAGGCTGTGCAATAGAACCTTCTCTGTGGAGGAAGAGAACCAAACTCAGGACGTAAGAGGCATAGAGACCCGCCCCACCTTCCAGCTCTTATTGCTGACCCATGGAGGGCCTGAAACCAATGCCAAGCTTGTTGCCCTCTGGGTTCTGTCCATCTCCTCATCACCTGCTTCCAGAACCTTCCCTAGGTGAGCGTCCCCTTGCAGACAAGGACGGTCTGGTTCCCCAAGAGAAGGAAGCAAAAGGATATGGCACCAAACATGGGCAGGCTATCCGCAGGGGGCTTGTTCCTGTGCCCTGGAGCTTTGGGGCTCAGTGGGATAAGGAAAAGGTCTCTGTTACTGAGACTTTATTTGGAAGTCCCTTCCGCACCTGCTGTTGGGCGGAAGGGAGCAGTGGTTCCCTAAGGATTCAGGGTGGTGGCCACCGCGGTGATGGAGGAGCACGGCCAAGTCCAGTGCCTCCCCACAGCCAAGTCTGGCACCAGGAGGCACTGACATTGGCTGAGGACCGAGGTGGAAGCTCCATCTCGTGTTTGTTGCTGGGGTCCCACCAAGTCCGAGGAGCCCATGTAGAGTGGGTGGCAGGCCCTTTGCCTGTAGTAACTCATTCAATCCTCACAACAATGGTGAGGAGCAGTTATTTTACTTACATTAGGAAAATAGTTTTAACCTTTTTAATAGCATGGAAAATGTCCAATGTGTGGAAAAGGGGAGAGAATGCTCCACTCCAGACAGCCAGCTTCAGGACCTCGGGGCAGTCCTGTCTCATCTGTACCTTAACTCTGGATGATCATGAAGCACATCCCCGATGTCAAGTGACCCTCATTTGACCAGTGAGGGAGCTGAGACCAAGTTAAATAAGGTCACGCAGCTGTGCAGACGGAGCCCAACGAATGGAGTGGTCTCTTAGGACAGGCTGGTCAGTTTTGCACGGACAGCCACATCAGCTCACCACCCTGTCCCCGCCGCTAAGGCCAGTCAGAAAGATCGGAGTGGCCGAGGCCCGCGCAGCCTGGTTCACCTTCAGTTCCCTGTCTGTGATGGTGAACTCCACTTCCTGCCGCAGCTTCTCATCCTTCCACTCCTGTAGCTCCTTGTGGTACCGCTTCATGAGCTTCTGCCGGTACACCTGCAGCCCAGGGCGAGAGGAGACGAGGTCCAGGGCTGGGGGAGCTGCAGGGGAGGCATGCTCTGGCCTGTGCTGTGGGTTCCCCATGCTTCCCAGGGCTAGCTCCTGCACCTCTCTGGGGGTCTGGGAAACTCAGAGCCCACCTCACCCCCAGGACGGAGAGCTGCACCTCCATCCCACGTGGTCTCCGGCTGCCTCCTACCTTGCATACCAGGTCCACGCTGTAGAAGCTGGCGTGCACTGAGGCTTTCAACGTTACCACGAGCGGGACAGTCTCTTCGGGAGCCACCTCTCCTTCCATGGGACTCACGGAGACCTGTTGATTTGGGGTAGAAGACTCTGGGGTTTCACGGGGATGGGACTGGATGGGGTGGTGTGGGATAGGATGGGACCATGTGGGATGGGTTGGGAGAGCACAGGGTGGGATAGATGGGATGGGATGAGTCCACAGCCCTGCTGGAGGTTCTGAACCCACGGGCACAGGGGTCTCACCTCCCCAAAGTCTACAGAACTTGGCTGCCAGGCAAAGACGATTGTCTCGTTCTTGGAGATGTTGTTGAGGAACAGCAAGCGGCTGCACTTGCTCTGCACAGGGATGTTCCCCAGGGAGATGTGAGACTGGGACAGGACGACATTCTGGTGATGGAGACAGCCGAGCAGAAACTTCAGCCGGTGAGGAAAGAGTAGCCACACGGCCACTACAAGTCACTGCGACCTGGTCAGGTGCCTTCCCCGCTTCTGATCCTCACAGCACTATCGCACGGGCACTACTGTTGTCCCCGATTTACAGACAGGCTGCTAAGGTTCAAGGATTGGAAGAATTTTTCCAAAGTTTGTCATGTGCATGGCTGGGCTAAGCCCAGACAGTCTCATGTTAGAGCCCAGGATTTCAACAGTTAACATAGGCTTGTAAAGGTTGAATTAGTATTAGCTTAGGGAAGACAGAGCTAAAGCCAACACAATTGGGGTCTCTGAGGGAGAGTTGTGAATGAATGGGCGGCCAGCCTTTGGCATGCTCACTACCCAGAACAGGAGCTGCTGCAGGGATGTCTGGAAGACCACGCAGAAGCAACACTTTCTGACCACACGCTGTGTGCAGCCGGGGCAGGGATTTTCTCTGGCTCTTCTCTGTGTCCCTCAGGCCTCCGTGGTACTCATCCTGGAGTAGTAGGAGGATTCCAGTGGTAGGTGGACAGGCGGATATGTGGATGGGGGAAGTGAGTGTATGGGCTCATGGGTGAATGGGTGGATGGATGCACTGATGAGTGAATGGGTAGATTCATCAATGGGGAGATGGATGAGTGATGAAAGGGTGGGCTGGTGGGTGAGTGCGTCAGACCTCCCAGCAGTGAGGGGCACATGAACTAAACACAGTGTTATTCACCATAGATATCTTTCATCAACACCCATCTAGGTCCAGGCAGAGACTGTTATGTATGAAGATCACACCTAGAACGGGACCTCGCCATCCTACACCTTCCAACTTCCCTATCCTGATGCCCAGAGCAGAGGGTGGGTGGAAGACAGTGAGGGGAGTGGTTGAGCAGGAGCACCTGTGGGCGCTCGGTGGCAGGAGCTGGTAGTGCCTTCTAAGTCCATGGGAGGGCTGGTTCCAGGCCCCACCTCCGTGTGGGTAGCTCCACAACTCCGTCTCATGTCCTCCCCGGCTCCCCGTGCCTCCCTTCCAAGGCCTAAGGCTTCCCAGCTCCCTGTCTCCTCACCTGCCCGGGAACCAACATCTTAGAGTGTGTGGAACCGCTGTCCCAAGAGGAGATGTTGTAGAACGGAGCTGTGTCACCCATGATCTGGGGGTCATAGCCCACTCCCTGGAAGTGGATGAGGGCCGAGTTCCATCCCAGGATGTGTATGGGCACATCCACCTGGGAAGTTGGGGCCACACAGAGCGACTGGTCAGAGCGAGGCCTGCTGGGGAAGCCAGCTCCGCCCACTACCCTGCAGTGCTCACAGTGTAGGTCTTGGCCTCGATGGGTGAGAATATCCACAGGGTCCGAGCGGTGGTGCCTGGCTGGATCTCCCCTTTGGGGTTGAGGCAACAGAAGATGGGGTGATCGAAATTCTTTTCCTGCACCTGGGACAGGATGTTGGTCTGGATCTCGTACGTCACGGGCACCGAGCCACCGTTATAGAGTTCATAAATCTGCAGGGGACAAAGACAGGCAAAACGCCGCCACAGCTCAGGACCGCAGAGCTGGTTTCCCTTATGGTTTGACCCCAAGAAGTGTGCGGCTACACTGTCAGCCCACTCCACGTCAGGGTGTGCAGTAATCCTGTTTAAGGGGTGGTCTGTTTTATCGGCACTCAATTTACCCCTGTCAAACTCTTAAAAAAAGATTTATTTATTTGAAAGACAGAGTTACAGAGAGAGAAAGAGAGAAAGAGAGAGAGAGGTCTTCCATCTGCTGGTTCACTCCCCCAAATGGCCACAATGATCAGGGCTGAGCCTATCTGAAGTCAGGAGCCAGGAATTTCTTCCAGGTATCCCATGCAGGTGCAGGGGCCCAAGCACTTGGGCCATCTTCTACTGCTTTCCCCGGCCACAGCAGGGAGCTGGATCGGAAGAGGAGCAGCCGAGACTCGGACTGGTGCCCCAAGCACCACAGGCAGTGGCTTTACTAGCTATGCCACAGCGCCGGCCCCCTCTGTGAAGTCCTAAGGGAACCTGGGTCTTGGGTTTGTGTCAGGACTTAGGGTGTATTACAATAGCAAAATACCAGAAGCAGCTAACTTACACAGAGAAAAAAACTTCTTAGCTCACAGTCCTGGAGGCTCAAAGCCACATGGCCTAGAGCAGGCTTTGGTTCTGGCTAGGGGCCTGTGGTCGATGGTGATGTGTGCGGAGCAAGGACCACATGGCAATCCAGGAAGCAGAGAGCCGAGTCAGGCCCAAACTCCGGCTTTCATGGCAATCTTTTTGCAAGCACCACCTGTAGAAGGCACACCCCCAGTGGCCCAAGGACCTCCCACGAGGCCTCATCTCCCCAAGGTCACTTCCCCCAACCTGCACTTTCCAACAGCACCACCCTGGAGGCCTCTGAGGGACATTGAGCCTCCAAACTAACACGAAAGCCATAGCACAGGGAAGTGTCCACGTGTCCACCACCCAGACCCCTCAGCACTTTATAGGCTCCCGTTCTAATCAGTGGCTGCCCCCTTCCATGCCTGCCATCAGAGAGAGGTGGGTATTGGGGCAGAAGGGAAGCTCTGAGGGACTCAAGACTAACTCCCAAAGTTGGGAATCTCAGAGTCACCCTGGACGAAATCCGAGATCTGAGCTAGTCCTCCCTCCCAGCGCTGAGAAAACAAGCCAGAGGCCATGAAGAATTCGCCTGCACTGAGGGCGTCCTTCCCGAGTAAGCAGGCTTGGCTTCTCTATCCTGGCCCAGCCCTCTGAGCTCCAGGCGTGGTGCTGTGGGCTGAGCCACCCCCAAGGCAATAGTGCTAAGAGGTGGGGCCTTTAGGTGGTGGTGAGACTATGAAGGAGGGGCCCTCGGGAATGGGATGAGCGCCTTGACGAGGGGCCCAAGGGAGCTTTGTGCCCCCTCGACCACAGTGAAGAGCCATCTATGAACTGGAAGAGCCCTCACCAAACACTGGATCTGCCACACTTGCTCTTGGACTTCTCCTCATTGGAAAGTAGGAAATAGGGCCTGACATTGGGTGCAGCCATTTAAGATGCCACTTGGGATGCCCACAATCCATAGCAGGTGGCCTGGCTTTGAGTCCTGGCTCTGCGTCTGATTCCAGCTTTCTGCTAATGCAGACCCTGGGAGGCATCAGGTACTTGGGTCCCTGTCCCCCATGTTCAAGACCTGGATTGAGTTTCCAGCTCCTGGTTTTGGTCTGGCCCAGCCCTGGCTGTTGCAGGCATCTGGGAAGTGAGTCAATCAAAGGGAGTTTTCTGTTTATCTGTTTTTCTCTTTCTCTCTGCCTTTCAATAAAAAAATTAAAAGAACAGTAAGAAATAAATTTCTGGGGGCTGGCATTGTGGTGTAGTGTGTTAAGCCACCACCCATGACACTGGCATCCCATACGGGCACCAGTTCTAGTCCTGACTAATCCACTTCCACTCAAGCTCCCTGTTAATGACCTGGAAAAGCAATGAAAGATGGTCCAAGTGGTTGGTCCCCTCCTGGCTCCTGGTTTTGGGGTGGCCCAGCTCCAGCCATTACAGACGTCTGGGGAGTGAACCAGCAGATGGAAGATCTCTCTCTCTCTCTCTCTGTCTCTCCTTTTCCCTCTGTAACTTTGCCTTTCAAATAAACAAATCTTAAAAAAAATTTCTGTTCATTACAGCAGCTGGAATGCACTAAGACACCTTGCATCCAACCTCTACCTGACTACCTGCTTTGTTGTCTCACAAACATCTCAAACTTGGCCAAAACCAAACTTTTCAGTCCAAAATCTATTTCTTTCCCCAGTTCATCTCCTTTCAGCAAATGCCAACTTCACTGTAACAGCCCCTAGTGTGGCCCCTGGAACAGTGCAAATGGTGCATGGAGGTGAACAGAGTTTGGGGCCAGGGACTCATTTCTCAGGCTGGAGGCTGAGTAGCTGGAGACCCCTGCACAGAAACATGCGGATTTTTGGTGTCTGGAAATTTCACAGATCTGAAAGCTTTGGGGAAACATGATGTGTCCTCCTGGACATTTCTGATGGACAATTTCAGAGCAAAGGAGCCGAATTCTGTCTGATCAATAAAGAAAGAAAAGTCTACAGTTTCCTGTGGATTCACATTCCGGTTCTTCACCCTCTAGAAAGACACCCTTCTGGTAGCAGTGCTGTCCACCCTGTGGCTGAGATCTTTTAATGGGAAGTCTATGTCCCTTGAGTGAGTCACGTCTTGTGCTTTGCACGTAGTAGCTGAGCTGTTGATTTGTGACACTTCTGGTGCAGTTGTGTGTGAATGCAGGCATATGTAAAATAAAATATATCAGTGTGGTTCATGGTCAAAGAAGTAGGAAGAAGCTTTTGCTGGGGGAAGAAGTAGCCCACTGTGGTTTGCGAATGGTTCTAGCAAAAGGGCTCAGTACCAAGCATCAAGGAACTTGACATCTCTTGGCTTCAGTGTCCCCAGTTGTCCAACCTGGGGGTTCAGCCTAGCAGCTCCACCTCCTAGGTGCTTCTGGAGGGCAGCGTCTTTGCCTCCCTGTCAAGGGCTGACACAGACAGGCAGGGGTCAAAGCTTATGCCTCCCAGTGCCCAGGACGACACAGACCACTGACCTGCCGTGGAGGCAGCATGTCTCCAATGGGGACGGGGATGAACTGGTGGCTGGTGGAGGTGAAGTGCACGTACTTCTGCTCCAGGCTCACTGTCACACCTACAAAATTTAGCTGGAGAGAAAAAGCTTCATGGGAGGCATCCTTCCCTGGGGGAAAGGGCACAGGCAGCAGACAGAGCTGGACCCCAGCTTCCCAGGGGAGTCTCTGTTCCCTGCTCTTCTCTTGGCTGTCCCATGAGCACCCTCTCCCCCTACACACACACTCCAGCCTGAGACCCAGGGTGCTGGGGCCATACCAGGATCTCCCGGCCGTGGGACACCTTGAAGAGCACCGGGAGGCGGTCAGTGCCAGTGAATACGTGGCTGGAAGAGGGGAGACAAGTCCAGTAGTGAGTGCTTGAGGCCTGGTGAAGTGGGAGAGCAAATAGACATGGCATGCCCATGGCTTTGAGCCGGCTACCCCTTGGGAGCAGCTCAGTGGAGGTGGTACAAGGAACAAAGGGAATTAGACCTCTCCAGGAGATAGGAAGCTGGTCCTCCCAGGGCGCTGGCCATTGGGGTGCTCTGGAGTCATGCAGTGAAAGGCCAGGGGAAGGGTGTCTCCAGGGAGTGCAGGGTGGGGTGGGCGTGGGGGAGCACCTGTATTTGAACTGCACCATCTCCTCCTGCCCAGGACTCAGGCCCCCTGCCTTGGGGCTGATGGAGAAGATGCAGTTGTCCTGCACACGCATTTGGTGGAGCTCAGTGCAGTCAAACTCTGCTTGCTCTGCCCATAGCTCCAGGTCCATCTGCTGGTCGCTTGGGAAGAGGAAGGACCTGGGAGAGGGAGTGCAAAGCAAGGGGCCTGAAGCCGTGCAAGGGATCTGTCAGTCCAAGCAGAGGGGTGGAGCTCTGATCCCTGTTCCTCCTGCACCTCATCCTTCCAATTGGCAAACTGTCTTGCGCATGGCTGAGCCAGTGTGGCTGCTGTTGGTTCTCCTTTCAGAATGGTCCCACAACCAAGAACAGAAGCAGGGCTACAGGCTACTTAGGAAGGACTCCCAGTGGCATGTGCCAGGATCAGAGGCGGTTGCTTGTGTATGTGGGCCACTTAGCGCTGGCCACCAACCCCTCTGCAGCAAAGCTCTGAGGAAGAGGCCATTTGAGGCTCCTAGGATTGCTGGCAGCACCAGCCAGAGGCCCCTCCCTGCGCCGGAAGCTGTCCAGGCCACCCTGGGCACAGGGTGGGAAGCAGGTGCCCCAGCAGGGCTGGTGTTCCTGAGACAGAAGCAAAGCCGGGCACGGAGTGCAGGCCCTGGATGCCTCCGTGCAGATGCCACACTCGGCATCATTGACAAAGGGACCCTGAGTCACAACCGGACAGGAGAGGTGCTCACTCTCAGAGAGCACACAGAGCTGGTCCCTGTGGGGAGCAGCTCGGACTAGACTAAGTTACTGGAATTAAGACTTATTCTATGCATCTGCTCTCCCACAATATGGCGCTGGGAGAGAAGTAAACAGCTTCCGCACAGCTGCCTCCAGTTCAACCAATTAACTGTAGGACTTGTTCCTGATTGGAGAGCAGCGTACTCGGCGTGTGGGCAGCCGAGTTGGGATTGGCGGAGGAGGACTATAAAGGAGGAGAGAGACGGCATGCACCGGGAACATCTATGGGGAACATCTAAGGGAACCCGTGCAGCCACCGAGAAAGCCGGCCGGCGGTGTGCCGCTCCCCTGCGGAAGTGGGGAATGCGGCCAGGGGGAACTGCCCTTCCACGGAGGTGGAGGGGATAGTAGCCAACCCGGGAAGAACCAGCAGCAAACCCGGGGAGGGCCGAGCAGACGAAAGAACAGCGCAGGGTCCTGTGTCGTTCCTCCACGAAGACGGGGAGCGACAGTCCCGGCAGCAGCGGGCAGCGGATGTGAACAGCGAGCACCCAACAAAGGAAAAGAGAACGGCTGCCACCGGCTGATGCGCCACAGCCAGGGAAACAGCGCGAAACTCTCACGGGGAAGCGGTCTGGGAGTTTTCCACACCTGGAGCGTGAAGAAGAGCTACAGCCAGCGCAGCTGGGCCGAGAAAGAACAGACACCTTCAAACACAGGCAGGACGAGAGAGAACTGCTACCACCTTTTAGAAGGAATTTTGGCAGCATCTATTTGAATAAAGAGTGCACAGGTGCCCGGCACTGTGATAATGCCGGCATCCCATATGGGCGTTGGTTGGAGTCCTGGCTGCTCCACTTCCAATCCTGCTCCCTAATAGTGCACCTGGGAAGGCAGCAGAGGATGGCCCAAGTCCTTGGGCCTCTGCCACCACCGTGGGAGACCTGGATGGAGCTCCTGGTTCCATCTCCCTCACTCCATTGCTCTGCCTTTTAAATAAGTAAATCTTTTTTTTCTTTCTTTTTAAATGCATATTGCCAGCACTCTGGCATAGTGGGTAAAGCCGCTGTCACACACCTGATGATGCAGCCCCCACCCCGCCTTCACCCCGCACGCCCCCCGGCTCTCCCGACCACAGATGCCCTTGTGTGCATATTTCACTCTCAGGCCAGGCCCCTGGCGCCCTCTCCCGAGGCTGACCTAGAAGAACATGCTGCTTCCTCACCTCTGTTTAGCCGAGCCAGGCTAGAAGCCGTCAGAAGGACATCTGCTAGGAGATGGAGGCGGCTGGCCCTGGCGGGCAGGTGGGGTTTCCTGGGCCCCAGTGGAAGGAAAGACCACCTCGCCAGGCTCAGCTCTCCAGGCCTGGCCTCCAGGACTCGAGGCGGGCGCCCCACCCCTCAGTGTCCTTGCCCACACAGGCCCAGCCCCCAGGGCATGGGGATCTTCGGGCACCCACTCAGGAGCAACTCAGAGCCTTCTTGCTGCCTAACCATGTCTGCTCCAAAGTTGGACAAACCCGGGTTTGACAGAGCCTGGCTCCTCCTGTTCATAGCCTTGGCGGGTTCTTTAGCCTCGCTGACCCTCAGCCTCCCTAAGAAAGGGCCAGAAGAGGAGGCTTTGTTCACAGGTGGCTGCGGGTGCCTGAGGCTCGTGGGCTTGTAAAGCACGGTGCCTGGTGCCAGCAGATGCTTGGTGACGGCTTCCCATGCATTGCGCTGCTGGCATGGCACCCAGGCTCCATCAGGGCACCTCCAACCCCACGACGCAGCCCAGCCGGAACCAGGTCCTGAGGGCTGTTGGGCAAGCACAGCACCCCTGTGCCCCACCCCACACCCAGGCCCACTCTTCCCAGAGACCCAGCATCCAGGCCTACCCCCGGGGAGAGAAGACGACCCTGCCACCCTTCTGGCCTCATCTCCGGCCCCTTCAGACCAGCCTACCAGTGCACGGGCACCACGCCCCTGTTCTTCAGGGTCAGGAGCACCACAGAGGCGGGGGCATTGATCGGTGCCGCCCCAAAATTGAAGTCAAGCTTCAAAGGAGTGAGGACCGGAGGTGTCTGGCTTGTGCTGCAGAGGGCAGAGGAATGGGCTCAGAGCTGGGGATAGGGACAGGAAGAGGTCCTCCCACGGGGGCTGGCTTGGGTACCTCCTCCCCCCGGCACAGGTGGGTCCAGGGAATCGGGGACTCCATACCGCAGGGGCAGGGATGGGCTGGCTGCATAGACTTCAGGCTGAATCCTGTCTTCCCCAGGCCCCTCCAGGGCTGGGCAAGAACTGGGATGGGGGATGGGAAGCAGCTTGATGGACAGGGCTGGGGCCTGGCTGCACAAAGGCCCCACATAGACCTTGCCCCCCGCCCCTGCGCTGCATGGCCTGCGCAGCTCACCTGTGCCGAGTGGGCACCTTGTAGGTGAGCTCCTGGGGGGTGGGGTCGCGCTCCAAGTAACTGTTGAGCGTGTCCAGGGAGAAGAGGCGCCACAGGTGTTTGCGGGTGATGCCCTCGGCACTGCCCATGGAGCACACGTCCAGGATGGAGAGAAAGGGGTACACAGCCTCCAGGGTGACTCGACTCAGCTCCTGCTGCTCTCCAGCCTTGTTGTCTGAAAGAGAGGAGGAGCAGGGGTGCAGGCAGAGCGTGCAAGACCCTGGTCTGGGGGCAGTGGCTGCCCCTGGGCTCCGAGCCATTTCTAACCACACCGACTCTTTTCTGAAACCTATATGCTCTGAGTGCTTTCCATATTTCCCTGCATTTAATATGCACTGTTAGTTGTTTTCCAATTAATTTAAAAATCTATTTATTTGAGTGACATCGTGGCACAGCCAGTTAAGCCGGCACCTGTACCATCAGCACCCCATGTGGATGTCAAGTATCAGCTGCTCCACTTCTGATTCAAGTCCTGGGAAAGCAGTGGAGAATGGCCCACGTGCTTAGGCCTCTGCACCCACTTGGGAAGAAGCTCCTGGCTCCTGGTTTCAATTTGGTCCAGCCCTGGCCATTGTGGCCATTTGGAAAGTGAACCAGTGGATGGAAGATCTCTGTCTCTGTCTCTCTCTGTCTCTCTCTCCATGTAACTTTGCCTCTTACATAAATAAAATAAACATTTTTTTCTTTCTTTTTTTTTTTTTTTTTTTGACAGGCAGAGTAGACAGTGAGAGAGAGACAGAAAGGTCTTCCTTTGCCGTTGGTTCACCCTCCAATGGCCGCCGCGGCCGGCATGCTGCGGCCGGCGCACCGCACTGATCCGATGGCAGGAGCCAGGTACTTATCCTGGTTTCCCATGGGGTGCAGGGCCCAAGTACTCGGGCCATCCTCCACTGCCTTCCCTGGCCACAGCAGAGAGCTGGCCTGGAAGAGGGGCAACCAGGACAGAATCCGGCGCCCCGACCGGGACTAGAACCCGGTGTGCCGGTGCCGCAAGGCGGAGGATTAGCCTAGTGAACCGCGGCACCAGCCACATTTTTTTCTTTTTTTGAGAGGAGGGAATACCTATTTCATTCACTCCCCAAATGGCCACAACAGCTGGAGCCAGGATGGAACCGGAGCCAGGATGGAACCGGAGCCAGGAACTCCACCAGGTCCCCCACACAGGTGGCAGAAACCCAATCACTGGAGCCATCGCTGCTGCTTCCCAGGAAGCAGCCAGAGCTAGGAACTGAGCCCAGGCACTGCAGTGTGGGACACAAACATCTTTATCACTGGACCAAACACCGGCCCCCAAACTAACTTTTAATAACAGCATTATGTGGATAAAATTTAGGTACCCTAAAACCCAACCTCTGCACATGCAATTCAGCTGTGTATTCACAGAGCTGTGTGCACTTCCTAATGTTTGAAAATTTCCATCATCCCAAAAAAAGAACCCAGCACCAATCGGTCATCACTCTCGGTTCACCCTTCCTTTCCCCTGGAAAGCACGAATCTACCTCTGTCTCCGTGTATGTGTCCATTCTGGACACCTCCTGCAAACACAGTCATTTACTACGTGGCTCTTGGAGACAAGTTTCTTTCACTGAGCAGTGGGTGGCGGCACTGCATTCCCATTTCTGGCCTGTGTGTCACTACGTTTGGCGAGAATGGAATGAAAAGAGAAGTTTAGGGGCAGGCATTTGATACTGTGGTTTACAGACTGCCTGTGTCCTGGACCAGGGCGTCCAGGTTTGAGTCCTGACGTCTGACTCCACCCAATTCCACCTTCTGCTATTTCCAGGACCCTGGGAGACAGCAGGTGATGGCTCAGGTACTTGGGTGCTGGCCTCGCATGGGGGAAACCTGAATTGAGTTCCCAGCTGCCGGCTCTGGCAAGGCCCAGCCCTGGTTGTTGCCAGCCTTTGGTATAGGGTTGAGATATCACTTGTAATGCCTGCACCCCATAGCAGAGTGCCTGGGTTCAAATCTTGGCTCCTGGCTCCATTCTGAATTCCATATTCCTGCTCACGTGTACCCTACAAGGCAGCAGGTGATGGCCCAAGTCCTTGGGTTCCTGCTACCCACTGGGTTTTTCCATTTTCCATGGATGCTCATATTCCTCCCATTTCACACACGAGGAAACCAGGGCACAGGTGCTAAGATCCCACTGTGGACACGCACTGCAGCCCAGCTCGGGCTCACTCCCTGCCACGTGCCTGCCCCCTCTCTGGGGGCAGCTGACAACAGCTCCATTGTACAGAGGGGGAAGTGGAGGCCCAGGATGGCTGAGGATTTGTCTCAGACCCCACAGCTCCCAACTCTTCACGCCAAGCCCTCCACAGCTGAGACACACACACACACACACACACACACACATATGGATACCCATCTGGATGGAGGTGGCCGGTCCCGGCACCTACACCAGCTGCCCAAAGGTTCGGCCTGGCACACCCTGCTGGCTCTGCCGGCTCTGTCTGGATCCCGAGCATCGGCGCCCCCAGCCCATGTCACAGTATAGCTCCCCGCCTTCCCCCTGCCCTTTGCAGGCCCCGCCTCCCCATGCCTGGTCCCTGGTACCTCTGTGGGAGAGCAGGGAATAGCTGAGAGTCCAAGAGTACTGGCCCCGGCGCTTTGGGCAGGCAGTCAGGCAGATGGTGTCCTGGGAGTGGGGAGGCAGGCTGCCCTCCGTCCGGTCCAGCTGCAGAGCTGCTCAGGGATGGCGCACGTGGGGTTGGCGGGCAGCAGAGGCCCTGCAGGTACCTCCCCCTCCCCCCAGGCTGCAGCGTGCAGGCCTGAATCAGCCAGTGGGAGTGCTGCCCCCCCCCCGCCCCCGCCGTGGGGACAGAGGGTGCCATGCTTCTTTGCATCACGGGCACCTGCTTCACCCTTTCCTCTGCCCTGCAGCCCTGCAGCCCTGCGCGGGGTGGGGGTGGGGGGCCGCTTTCAGCCCCACTTTACTGATGAGGAAGTGGGAGCTCAGAGAGGACCGTGGTTCTCCCGAAGCCACACGGAAGCACCAGGATATACGCAGTCTTTGATGGACCCAACCATGGTGTGGTGGTCACCCAGCCCCCGCCTCCCTGGACCCCGGGCTCTGAGTACCAGGGGGGTCTTCGGCGTCGCCCTCTGGGCTGTGCTGCTCCAGGTGCAGGTGGTAATAGAGGGTGCAGTCGCCATCATTCCCGAACTCCAGGGACCTGTTCTCCTCGCTGCCCACCAGCATGTTCCCAAAGTCCAGCTCCTTCTCCTTTGCCTGAGGCCACGGCCAGGCAGCTGGGGGATGGGCACTCCCCCAGGGCCACAGCCCGCCCTCCCAGCCCACTCCTCACGCACCTCCCGAGCAGGTGCAGGTCCAGGGGAGGCCCAAGGAATGCCCCGCCCTGCCCTCATGGAGCCGCCTACCCCGAGGCCTTCCCGCCCACCTGGGCCTGGAACCCCACCGCCGCCGCCACCGCGTTCCCCTCCCCGGGGCCCTGTCACTCACGGAGATGCTGCCGGAGATGCCCATGCCCACCAGCCGCAGCAGGTAGTGGGTGCTGGGGGGCTTGGCGCCGGGGGGCAGGCCGGCTTCCCAGGCCCACATCCCCACCTGGAACAGGTACTTGGTCTCCTCCAAAGGGCTGAACACCCATGTCAGCGTCTGGGTCCCAGAGCAGACACGTGCGTGAGACCTCCAGAGCCACCCTGCTCCCTCCTCCCCAGCCCGGGCACCTGGCTGCTGGAGGTCCCCCTGCAGGGTGGCCTGAACTGCTCCTCTCCCTGGGGGGGGGTGGGGGTGGGGCTCGGTCCCGCAGCCCCAGGAGGGGTCAGCAGGGTTCTTTTTGGGGCTTGTTTTCCGTTAAGAAACTGGAACTTCAGAGAAGTGGGGTGACATCAGCCAGAGGGGGCAGCAGCGCCAGCCCCCGAGGGCCTGCCTCCTCTCACCTCCCGCTTACTGTCCCCTGGGCTCTTGTCTCACGTCTGGCCTCCCCACCTCGTCTGCGAGGCCCTGGGCTGGGGACAGGATCTGGTGTTTCGGGCTTCTAGCTTGCACCCCCGCCTCAGACTGCCCCTGGGACCTCCGGGGCTCCCCTTCCTCATCCCTTGCTGAGCCGCCCATTCAGCCCAAAATCCAGGGGCTGCAAACCACCTGGCTGGCATTCCCATGGCTTTGGGGACAGGCACGACACAGCGGGCTCACATCCGGGGCCCTGGCACCAGGAACGCTAGCCCGGTGCTCCTGACTTGTGATCTAAGTGTCTTTTCTCTGTAAAATGGGGGTGATGAAGGTGGCACCACTACTAGTAACTACTTGTTACTAGTAGTAACAAGGGGCGGGGCTTGGGAATTGAGTTGGGGGCCCTCAGGGTAGAGCTGGCCCCGAAAGGCATGAGTAAGAGATGAAGATGGAGGTGAGAAGGTGGGCGCCGCGGGGAGACCACTCACCACGTTCTCATTGGGCTGGATGAGCCCCCTGGGCGGCTGGACAGCCAACAGCTTCCGGTGCTGCTGGGAGACCCTCCACTCAAACTCCATGGGCAGACGCGTGGGGTTGTGGAAGGTGAAGGTGCTGGTGGAGGAGCAGCCCACCCAGGTGGGCTTGAAGAACACGCTCTGGGAGGTGTCCAGCTGCAGCTGCCGGGGCTCCTCTCGGCTCTGCAGGATCACCTCCTGGGCCCCGAAGAAGCAGGGCAGTGCCTGTCCTCACCCCGCAGGCGTGGCCGGAAAGCCGGGCGTGGGGCAGCTCCTCCCCTCCCCACCCCCACCCTGGGCGGGAGGGGCGGCAGCAGGTCCTCTGCCAGCCTCAGCAGGGGAGCCAGTGACGGACCCAGGAGATGAGGCCTGAGCAGAACCAGGGGCTGAGAGAGTTAGAGATGGCTTCACGGGGTGGGGCGTGGGCCTATGCCTGGCTCAGCCTCAGGTCCACTTTCTGTGGCTTGTGCGTGGTCTGAGTGTGTCCTACATAGGTTCATGTGGTGGAAGCTTGGTCCCCAGTGGCAGGGGTGGGGGGGAGGGCACCTCTTGGAGCGGGGGCACAGGTCCTGGGGCTCTTCCTCATATGATGCTAATGCAGTCTTGGACTAAGTCTGTTCTCACGAGGCCACTCCACACACTGAGCCCCTCAGCCCGTGGCTTCTCTGCCACGTGGTAACGCGGTCGGAGGCCAAACATTTGGAGCAGCCTGACCTTGAACTTTTCCACCTCCAAAACCGTGAGCTCCGTTACTTAAGTGCCCCGCCTCAAGCCTTTTGTTACCGCAACACAAGTGGCCCGAGACACCTCGCTGCCACCCACAGACCGAGCCTTTGCTGTCCCAGAGCCTCCCTCGGGGACCTCGGCACCCTTTTTTTCTTGATCTCAGACCCCAGGAGTGGGGCAGGCAAGGCCCGGACAGAAGGGAGAGTTGTTCACAGGTGTAACCAGAGGGGTCTTCTCCCTGCGAGGTCACTTCCTGGAGAGCAGTGCCCCCTCCCCCCAGCATAGCTGGGGGGACCTTGAAGGCCGACCTCAGAATGTGACTGGGAGAAGACACACGTGGGGGACCCAGCTCCTGTCCGCCTGCCTCCTACCTTGAGGTACTGAGGGCAGGAATTGAACTGCAGGTAGAGGTGGTGTTGCTTCCAGGTGGTACCCTTGGGGTAGGCACAGAGCAGGAGGATCTGGTGGGCGCCGGGGGCCACGAGGCCTGAGGTGGGCCGCAGGGTGACGTCCGCGCTGCTTCTGGGGGCCAGGGCGAAGGTCAGCAGCATGGGCCCCTTGTTCACCAGCAGCAGGCTGCGGTAGGAGGGCTCGCTGGAGGGTACCGCGGGGAAGAGCTGCGGCGGGGAGGAGAGGACGGAAGGCCCCCAGCTCTGATCTCCACCCCGGCTCGCAAACACTCAGAGCTGTGTGTGCCTGGCCTTGGGGTGGAGCCTCCATGGAGCCCATGCCACACCGGAGGCCGCAGCCTGGCACCAAAGAATTCCCAGGAGCGACTCAGGCCTCTCCGGGAGCTGAGAGAGGAAGTTGTGTCCCTTTCGGGTGCTTGGGAATCGCCCTTCGGAGGAGCCGCCCTTGGAGATCCGAGCCCAGGGGTGTGGGGTGAGCAGCTCCTTCCAGTTCTCACGCAGGTGGCAGTGAGTAACCGGTCCCAACAATCCCAGCTCCCAGACATTCCTTGGGCCTTGGGGACGTGGCCTGCACGAACTTGAATCCTCAGCAGGCTACCAAACACAGGAGCCCAAATCCTGGACCTAAGCCCCCATCCAGCTGGGGCAACAGGTGCACATGTGGGAGGTGGCAAGGGAGCAACGCTGGCCCCGGATCTGCAGCAGAGCATGGCAGGAGGGGGCATTGGCCAGCAGGAAGGGGCCGAGGGAGTTGGCAAGCACCTGGTGAGTCAGGGAGAGCTTCGGGAAGGGGCAGCCCCCAAGCAGGACCCCAGGGGTGGCAGAGGTTTGGTATTGGAACTGCAGCTGGTGGCAGGGAGCAGGGCTGCCACCAGGCACACTGTCCCCAAGTGGCACCTTTCCAGCAACAAGAAGACGAATGAGAAAACTGAGGACTGTGATGGAAACCAGGGACGGCATCGGCAGTGTGAGGCCAGAATCAGCAGCTGGGGGCCGGGCTCAGGGTCTGAGCTTTGCAACCCTGTGTCTTCCAGACAGGCCTCCAAGGGCCCTGGGCGGGGCCTGGGAATTCTGACTCCCGGAGGAAGGGGATGGCTCTGCCTGCAGCAGGGCTGGGAGCTCCCCATGGTGGGGACTCCTGGCACGGCTGCTGTGTCCCTAAGGCCTGGCCCAAACTCGGGACCTACGGGCACTCGGGAAACAGCCCCAACAACTGAAGGAGCTGCAGCTTGAAGCCTAAGGGCAGAGGCCCAGGCGGGCGGGGCGGCCGTCCAACTCCCACGCTTCCCAGTCCCGGGGCCGGGGACCAGGGCAGCTGGCTGCCTCCCTGGGACTGGCTGAGTGTGGGAGACAGCCAGCGAGGGTTCTGTGTGTGTGTGCATATGTGACAGGCATGGAGGGTTCTATGTGTTCGTGTGTGTGTGTCATCCAGAGAGGCTTCTGTATATGTGTGTGTTCATGCGTGTGTGTACAGATGTGTGTGTGACAGCCAGCGAGAGTTTTGTGTGTGTGTGTGTGTATGTGAGACAGCCAGTGATGGTTCTGTGTGTGTGTGTCTGTGGTGTGTGTGACAGCCAGCAAGGGTTCTGAGCGTGTGTGTGTGCATGTGTGTGTGTACAGATGTGTGTGTGACAGCCAGCAAGGGTTTTGTGTATGTGTGTGCGTGGGAGACAGCCAGCGAGGGTTCTGTGTGTGTGTATGCATGTGTGTGTGTGTGAGACAGCCAGCGAGGGTTCTGTGCGTGTGTGTGTGTGTGTGTGTGACAGCCAGCGAGGGTGCTGTGCATGTGTGTGACAGCCAGCGAGGGTTCTGTGCGTGTGTGTGTGACAGCCAGCGAGGGTTCTGTGCATGTGTGTGTGACAGCCAGCGAGGGTTCTATGCGTGTGTGTGTGACAGCCAGCGAGGGTTTTGTGTGTGTGCGTGTGTGTGTGACAGCCAGCGAGGGTTCTGTGTGTGCATGTGTGTGTGTGACAGCCAGCGAGGGTGCTGTGCGTGTGTGTGACAGCCAGCGAGGGTTCTGTGCGTGTGTGTGTGACAGCCAGCGAGGGTTCTGTGCATGTGTGTGTGACAGCCAGCGAGGGTTCTATGCGTGTGTGTGTGACAGCCAGCGAGGGTTCTGTGCGTGTGTGTGTGACAGCCAGAGAGGGTTCTGTGTGTGTGTGCGTGTGTGTGTGACAGTCAGCAAGGGTTCTGTGTGTGTGTGCGTGTGTGTGTGACAGCCAGCGAGGGTTCTGTGCGTGTGTGTATGACAGCCAGCAAGGGTGCTGGCATGTGTTTCTGAGGTCATCAGAGAGGAAGAAGGATCTACAGGCCACGGCAGCAGGCAGAGCTTCCCGGAGCCTTCCCGGGGCTGTGGGACTGCACTCACCTTGGGGGCGTCCAGGGAGTAGTGGGGGACGTGGTGCTCGAAGGCGGCGTGGTAGCTGTGGCCCCGGGCACGCACGGTCAGGCACCAGGACGGGCACACCGTGCAGTCTTCCTCGATATTGTTGTAGCTGCGCAGGACCTGCAGGGGGCGGGCCACAGGCAGGCTCAAGCCAGGGCCCGTGTCGGAGCCTGGGGGGCACTGTCTTGCCCCCTCCCCACCTCTGGGCTACAGGAGGCCTGTGCTGGGCTCCCTGGGACAATGGTGCAGAGAATCGAGCTCCTGGAGCCTGAACCAGGGCCCGGCTCTCCCCAACCTTCCAAGGAGGGTGGGGTGGTCATGGAGGCAGCACCCATTGCTAGGAAGATGCCCAGGCAGTGAGGCCAACAGAAACAGCGTGAGTGGCAAACAGGCGTCATTTTAGATGTCCTGACAGCCATGTCAGAGAAGGAGACACATGAAACTGGTTTTGGTAATGTGTGTTACTTAGCCTAATATTGGAGCCTAAATTGTATCCTTGTAATGTAGCATCAATATAAAAAGTGGTTTTTTTTTTAAATATTTAAGAAGGAAATATATATGAGAAAGAGAAAGAGAAAGAGAGATTTTCCATTTGCTGGTTCATTCCCCAAATGGCCGTGATAGTGAGGTCTGGACCAGGCCTGAAGCCAGGAGCCAGGAACTCCATCCTGGTCTCCCATGTGTATAGCAGGGGCCCAAGTACTTGGCCCATTATCCGATGCCTTCCCAGGCACATTAGCAGGGAGCTGGGTCAGAAGTGGAGCAGCTGTGACTTGAACAAGTGCTCTTGTATGGGAGGCCAGCACTGAAGGCAGCTTAACCCAGGGCGCCCCAGCACCTACCCCTATATAAAAATTACGAATGGGCTTTCACCTTTTCGTACTGAGTCCTCAGAATCTAGCATGTATCAGAGTTCTTCAGAAAGTTCATGGAATGAGGCAAAAAGATAAGTTTATTTTGGTGCCATACTCAGTTTTTGCATCATTTGAATCATGAACTTTCTGAAATATCTCTCCCTTCATTTATTTATTTGTTTAAAGATTTATTTACTTATTTTGAAAGTAAAGATTTTTACTTTCAGATTGGGGGGGGTAGAGAGTTAGAGAGAGAGAGAGAGAGAGAGAGAGAGAGAGAGGTCTTCCATCTACTAGTTTACTCCCTGGATAGCCACAACAGCCAGCACTAGGCCAGGTGAAGCCAGGAGCTTCATGCAGGTCTCCCATGTGAGTGGCAGGGGCCCAAGTACTTGGCCCATCTTCTGCTGCTTTTCCCAGGTCGTTAGCAGGGAGCTGGATCAGAAGTGGAGCAGCTGGCTTCCAATCCAGCTCTCTGCTATGGCCTGGGAAAGCAGTAGAAGATGCCCTGGGTCCTTCAGCCCCTGGACCCACATGGGAGACCCGGAAGAAACTCCTGGCTCCTGGCTTCAGATTGGTGCAGCTCTGGCCATTGCAGCCAATTGGGGAGTGAACCATCAGATGAAAGACACCTCTCTCTCTCTCTCTCTCTCTCTCTTCTCTATCTGTGTAACTCTGACTTCCAAATAAATAAAATAAATCTTTAAAATAAAAAAAGAAATGGAGTAGCCAGGACTCAAACCAGCACCCATACAGGAAGCCGGCATCACAGGTGTGGCTTTTACCTGCTATACCACAATGCCACCGCCTTATTGATACTCACAGCACATCTCAATTCAGCCCCACGTCAGATGCTCAGTAGCACGCGTGGCTGGTAACCGCCCTGTCAGGCACAGCAGGTCCAGAGCCTGCAGCCTACAAATCCGAGGTGTCCAGCCTCAGCGAAGCACCTACGTTTCCCCAAGGCTGAGATGCTGCGATGGAGGCGAATTAAAGACTCGCTTCGGCAAAGCCTCCTGGAAAGCTCTGATGTGGCCCCAAGTTCATGGATGAAATGACCAGGGCTCAGAGACACAAAGGAACCTGCCCAAGCTCACTCAGCTGGTAGGTGACTGTGACCTCGACTGTGGGGCTCCACACCTGCCCCAGCCCCAGCGCTCTGACCGCTGGGGAAGAAGCAGGTGGGGCAGAGCCAAGTGGGAAAGGCAGGGCGGAGTGGGGACACGGTGGGGAGCAGCTCGCACTAAGAGGCCTGGACCGGTGCCGCAGGGCTGACAGTCATCGGGCACCCCTGCGCCTGTCCCCCAGGCCCTGTCTGGCCACAGCTTTAAAGGGACCATTGCCTACTTCAAGGACTAGAAGAGAAGCCAGGGCACCTCTGGCCCTGGGCACCACGTTTTCCCAAAGGGCTTGATCCCAGCTGAGTTCACCCCTAGAGGATGGAGGCCACCATGAGAGCAGCCAAGAAACCCTTCAGCCACGAGTCTGGGAGGGCATGGACTGGCAGGGGCTCCTCCTGTCCAGCCAAGGAGGAAGCGGGAGACACCGGGCACGGACAGGACAGGCTGTGCAGTGCCCTGTGTCATCCCCGGCCACCCCTCCCAGCGTCCAGGCCCCAGGCACCTTATAGACGGCGAAGGCTTCGAGCTCCACGGCATAGAGGCAGTTGGAGTAAGGCGGCTGGAAGTGCAGGCGCATGGCCATGGACTTGAGTGGGGGGACATCGCAGGTGTCCGGGGTCACCCAGAAGGGGCAGTCAGGCCTGTGTGTCCAGACCACGGTGATCTTGCCTTTGGTGTGGTTCATCAGGTACAGGGGCACAGGGTTGGGGGCCTCGGGCCCCGGGCAGGCGCCAAAATCCACTTCAACGGGCTCTATGGTGACAGGCGGGGGAAAGACAGCCATGTTGCCCGTGCCGTCAAGGAAGAACTCGGTCATGGGAGGGACGCTGGGGTACTGCGGCGCTGGCGAATCCTCCAGGTCCTGCACGGAGAGAGACAGGCGTGTGGGGCGGCTGCCGCGGCTTCTGCCCCCGTGCCTCTTCCACACCCGCCTTTCCGGAACTGGCTCCACCCAAGACGCCGTCGGCTGCCTACGGTGCCCACAGGGCTTCTGGGCTCCCAGGCGGCCTCAGAACTGCTAGAGCAGGGGGCAGGCACCTAGGAGGGCAGCCTGTCCCCGCTCCCCCAGGCAGGGGCCCCTGGTACCTCCACGGGCAGCATGAGGGCCCCGTTCTGGTCCTGCTCCAGCTTCTTCTCCTTCAGCATGGTGCACAGGACGTGAGGGGGGTAGAGCGTCAGGCCTCGAGCCAGGTGTGTGCGGTACCAGGTGAGATGCTGCGGCTTCAGGATGGCTGGCTTACTACTGTCCGAGTGGCAGGTCCCAATCAGGTCCAGGAACAGTGGGTCCTGTGATGTTTGTGCACATGGGACAGGGACGGGGGACAGAAGCTGGGCAGAGGTGGCAGTAGCAGGTGAAGGAGCGCCCCGAGAGCTGCCCGGCTGGTGCGGGGGACAGTTGGCGTCCAGGGAGGCCCAGCCCTCAGGATGCTCAGCCGTTGCTCGCTCTCCAGCTACCGCCCACCCCTTGCGAGCATCCTGCAAACACCAGCCCTCAGGCCCACAGCAGGAGAGGAGAGAGAAACGATGGCCTCCCCAGGCCCCATCCTCCTGCTGCTCACCCAGGCCTCCCCGGCACACACGAGAATTAGAAGGCACCCACTCCTCCAGGCAGACAGGCGGGGATTCTAAGCTAGAAGTCAGCCCCCACTTGTCATCTTGGCCGGACCCCCGCTGGTCAGGGCACAGTGTGTATGAGCTTGCCCAGGGGCCCCAGGAGGTGGGGGAGGAGGGTACATGTCTAACTCCAAAGCTCTCTGCCCTGCACCTGCTGTGTGGGGCGATAACCAGAGCTCCCTCTCCCCAGCCCATCAGCCACAGCAGCAGCACAGGCCTTGGCTGGCGGCAGACAGGCAAAGCTTGGCACTCCCACGTTGCTCACGTGCCCCTGGCCAACTCTGGGGCTGCAGCCCTGGAGGGGGTGACAACCCAGGTAGCAACCCCAGAAGTTCCAGAACACGGGACAGTACCCCCCAAGCCTTGTCTGCATCACTGGGTCTCAGAGGGAGCCCCCTCTTGCCCTCAGCCTTGCCCCCTCCCCTGCACCCACCTGGTGGTGGATGAGACAGGCCACCCGCCGGAAGTAGATGATGGGGTGAGTGGGCTGGAAGGTGCAGAGCAGGGTCGCGCGGGCCTTGCCCAGCAGGGTCCCGAAGGCAGGCCTGATGCTGAAGACACTCTCCGGGCAGTCGATGGCGAACTGGAAGTAGGCAGTACAGTCCTCCTGGTTCTCAATCCACAGAGACTGCTCCGAGCGCTCCCCGAGGTTGATCCAGCTGAAGTTGATGCAGTACTGCTGCAGGGACACGGCGGGACCTGGGCACAGGAGACGGGGTCCCTGGGAGGAGCCTGGAGTACCAGCCTCCCGAAGGATGCTTCAGAGGGGTTCCCGTTGACGGGAGGTGCGTCATCTGGGGACAGAAGGCCAGGACGGAATGGCCCAGAGGCCTGCAGCCTGTGCACAACTCCAGTGTCATAGCTCCAGGTGTCTGCAAATGATTCCCCACTGGGCCACCAGGGGGCAGCAAACACCCAGGCTAAGGACCAGGCAACGCCAGCTCTTGGAGCAGTCAGGGAGTGTGCAGAGCTGTAAGTGTGGGGCCGCCACCCAGAGGGAGTGCAGTGTCCTGGGGTTGCCAGTACCTCTACAGAAGCCCACGACCTTGAGCAGGGTTTGGGAGGCACAGCCGGAAGGCGTGATGGAGAAGTAGTCCACAGTTCTGGTGCTCAGGGCCTCGGGGTGGAAGATCACCGACACGCATTTCTTCTCTCCTGGGCGCACGACGCCCTGGGCCGTGGGGCACGAGAAGGCCTGGTCTTGGGCCAGCAGGTCTGGGACAATTTCAATCCTGAAGGGGGCGTTCACCTGCGGGGCAGGAGGCAGAAGTCAGGTGACAAGGTGGGCAAGCCTGTGCACTGTACTGAGGTGCCCAGTGGAGGGGGCAAGGGGCAGCTGGCATCCGCCCAGCGGTGAGTGTGGAGGCAGGAAGGGGCCAAGCCATGTGCCCTGCACTAGGGCTGCCCAGAGAGGGGGGCCTTTTTCTTTTGTCCAAGGTGCCGTGGTGGCTGGTTGTGTCCAGGGGTCCGTACAGGGCAGTCACTCTAGGGACTGTTCCGGGGAGCCAGGGGATGACCCCACGCAGCTGTGTCTGGGGGAGGGGGTGGACACAGGACACCTGTTGACAACTCTTGGTGCAAATGGGTTATGGGAAGCTTGGGACCAAAGGTGTGGACGGCAGGGGGCGTTCTAAAGAGGGCATGGATTTTGGGAGCACCCATTCCTGGGGTCCCAAGCCCTGCCTTGGGCCTTCCCACCTGCCCCTGGCCCTGTGCGTACCACCGACGGGTTATGCAGCCTGATCTGCCGCTCGGCTGTGCAGCCCACAGCCACAGAGCCAAAGTGCAGCACTTTGTGGAAGCCTATGGCATCCTGGTCCTCTGGTTGCTTGTGCCTTATGCTCACCAGCAGCTGGGCGCACTTGGCTGTGGCAGAGAGGGGATGGGTTGGCGGGAGCCCGCCAGGGCCTCCGTGGCCCCAGCTGAGCAGTGCCTGGAAGAAGGCAGTGTCCCAGGGAGAAAGCAGCCGGTGATGTCATTGGAGGCAAAGAAGGGGTGAAGCCTGTGGGCTGTTGGGAAGGGGGGGCATGCCAGGGTGAAGATGGGGACACACTGCAGCTTGCGACCTAAAGGAGGGGCAGCGGGAGGCTCTGGGGACAGACAGGACGGCGGGCCTCACCCACAGCTTGCAGCTGGATGCTGCACTTCTGCCGGCTGTTCTCCCCGTACCAGCACGTGGCCTCGGCATCGTGGATGACAGCCACGAGGGGCTGAAAAGCCACCTTGATCTGGCAGGCCAGGCCTGGCTCCAGGAGCCCCGTGGCGGGAAACATCTGGAACGGACTGGGGAACTCCCAGGTGAAGAAGGTGGGTAGGTCCCTGGGGGGAGGGGGAGAGGGAGGGGCTCAGGCTCTGGGCTCCTGCCTTGGAAAGGTGGGCACTCCGGCCAGCCTCTGTCCTCTCCCGCTTGCCGCTGCGTACCACTGCTCACCACTATCCCCTCCTAGGGCTGCTGCTCCCCACCTCCGAGTCTCAGCCTCTCCCCTCACCCCACATTGTCCAGGTCGAACCAGGCCTCAACTGTGTCCCCTACGGCACACATGGGCAGCTGCAGTAATGGCAGGCAGGTCAGCTTGTGGCAAGGCAGGGTGGCCCTCAGGTCCACAAAGAATGTCCCCTCGGCTTTCTCAAACCACAGCCTGTCCATGTACTCCTTCTGTAGTGAGCAGAGACAGCCACAGGTCAGTGGGACGTGGATGGCCCCAAGAGAACACCCACTCCACCTGCCTGCAGCAGCCCTCCCAGCCTCTGAGGGAGTCAGCTACCCGCACACCTGCCCCATTTTGGTCTCAGAAATGGCCAAATGGTATTTTCATGTGACTGGCATTGTGGCATGGTGGGTTAAGCTGCCATCTGCAATGCCGGCATCCCATTTGGGCGCCGGTTCAAGTCCTGGATGCTCCAATTCCAATCCCGCTCCCTGCCTGTGCGCCTGGGAAAGCAGCAGAAGATGGCCAAGGAATCCAAGGCTTTTTGAAAGCCAAATTGAGTGGACTCCCCAAAGTTCATAGAAAACGGAATTAAAAGATAAATTTATTTTTGTGTATAAACTTGTTGAAATCCACGCATAGTTTTTCCATGATACACATTTTTCGTAAGCTTTATGAAGACCCCTTGTACAGTTTCAAAATATTTTTGTGCCAGAAGAAACTTATCTTTTAGTTCCGTTTTCCCTCAACTTGTTGAAGTGCCCTTACACAGTGCCCCAGCCTTTATCCTCCAGTATCCAATGGGGAACCCCTCTGCCCACTAAGACTGAGGGGCTTCCCGAGCTGGGCGTGTGCTCCCGTTGACAGCCTGTGTGATGCCTGGGGGAATCGCTGGCCACTCTGTCCTGCTTCCTGCCCCAAGGCCTCTAGGCCTCTGTTTCCGTGTCCCGGCACCACCCCTGGCCTGGGGACCTCACCTCCTCCAGAGGCCGGAAGATGATGGGGAGCGTGAAGCTTATGCCTGGGCTCAGGAAGAGGGGCTGAGGGATGACCGTGAAGAAGAACTTGCTCTTGGGAGGCCTGCGGGAGACAGCCCTGGGATGAGCACCTGGGATCAGGGCTCCTCAACCGGAGGAGGCGGGGAGAGCAGAGGAGCTCCTGTGGAACTGAGGGGCTCGAGAGGCCCAGGGGGTGGCCATGGAGAAGGGGCCATGGGGGCTGGTCACAAACAAAAGGATCCCTTCTCCCTCCTCCTCCTCCTGTTCCTGGAACAAAAAGGAGGAAGCATTTGTGCCTCTGATGAGTGTGAGGACCTGCAGGAACAGGGATAGGGGAGGGCCCCTGCGACACAACAGAATCCCTGAGCACCAAGACATGGACCCCCAGGTCTGAGAGGGGAGAAACGGGGTGCAGGGACCAGGGTGGTGGGGACCATTGATGCTGCAGCCCCTTCACACAGTAAGATGATACCAGAAGTTCTTTTTATTTTTAAAGATTTATTTTATTTATTTGAAAGAGTTGCAGAAAGAAGTAGAGTCAGAGAGAGAGAGAGAGACTTTCATCTGCTAGTTTACTCCCCAGATAACTGCAACAGCCAGAGCAGAGCTGATCTGAAGCCAGGAGCCAGGAGCTTCTTCCAGGTTTCCCATGTGGGTGCAGGGGCCCAAGCACTTGGGCCATCCTCCACTGCTTTCCTAGGCCACTAGCAGGGAGCTGGATCAGAAGTGAAATAGCCGGGACTCAAACCGGCGCCCATATGGGATGCCACACTGCAGGTGGCGGCTTTAACATGCTGAGCCACAGCACCGGCCCCTGACACTAGCAGTTCTGTACCAATGAATGCTTATTTTTAGGTGAAATGAACACATGTCTAAGACACTGTAATTTGCCATAACTGAGAGGTTTATGCACTAGAGCAGGCATTCAGCACGGCTGTTTAGATACCTGCGCTCCCTGAGTGCCTGAGCCCCACCTCGAGCTTCCGGCTCCAGTTCCTGCCAATGCAGACCTGGGAGGTGGCAGTGATGCTCAACCACTGGGTTCCCAACACCCACATGGGAGACCAGGATTGCATGTCCAACCCCCAGCCATCCCAGGCATTTGAGGAGTCAATCAGCAAATGGGAACGCTCTCTCTCTCTTTCTCTCTGCCTCTCAAATAAACAAAATTATGTTTAAAAAGAATTATACACTAAAATTTTTAAAAGATTTACTTATTTATTTGAAAGGCAGAGTTACAGAGGCAGAGGCAAAGAGAGAGAGAGAGAGGCCGGCGCCACGGCTCACTAGGCTAATCCTCCACCTGCGGTGCTGGTACCCCAGGTTCTAGTCCCAGTTTGGGCACCGGATTCTGTGCCGGCTGCTCCTCTTCCAGTCCAGCTCTCTGCTGTAGCCCAGGAGTGCAGTGGAGGATGGCCCAGATCCTTGGGCCCTGCACCCGCACGGGAGACCAGGAGGAAGCACCTGGCTCCTGGCTTCGGATCGGCGCAGCGCACCATGTCTCCCACATTGGTGCAGGGGCCCATCTTGGGCCATCTTCCAATGCTTCCCCAGGCCATAGCAGAGATCTGGATCAGAAATAGAGCAGCCAGGTCTTGAACTGACGCTTATATGGGATGCCAGAACTGCAGGCGGCGGCTTTACCCATTATGCCACAGCGCCAACCCCTATACAATAAATTTTATGTCCACTCTACCTGTAGCCCTCAAAGAAATGGAATATGTAGTCAACAGTCTTCTCACAAAAACACACTAGGGGCCGGCGCCGCGGCTCACTAGGCTAATCCTCCACCTTGCGGTGCCGGCACACCGGGTTCTAGTCCCGGTCGGGGCGCCGGATTCTGTCCCAGTTGCTCCTCTTCCAGGCCAGCTCTCTGCTGTGGCCCGGGAGTGCAGTGGAGGATGGCCCAAGTACTTGGGCCCTGCACCCCACGCGAGACCAGGATAAGTACCTGGCTCCTGCCATCGGATCAGCGCGGTGCGCTGGCCGCAGTGCGCCGGCCGCAGCGGCCATTGGAGGGTGAACCAATGGCAAAGGAAGACTTTTCTCTCTTTCTCTCTCTCTCACTGTCCACTCTACCTGTCAAAAAATTAGAAAAAAAAAAGACACAATAAAGAGCAGAAAAGACAAGTCACAGGTGTGAGAAGATATTCACAACACATAACTGAGCAAGGATTAGAATCTGGGATGAGAATTTACTAAAGAAAGAAAGAAAGAGACAATCTCATGAAAAACAGGCATAGATTTGACATGGATTTCACAAATGAAATGCAAATGGTTGTTAACCTATGAAAAGACACTCAACCTCATTAATAGTGGTCAGGGAAATCAGTAATCAAGGAAATGCAGATTAAAACCACAACAAGTTCTCGTTGCTGGCAACATTTTTTAAACCTAACAGTAGCAAGTATTGGTAAGAACACTGAGAGACAGGAACTCACATATATTGTAGGTGGGAATATAAACAGACACAGATGTGGGAGAATGGTTTGACCTTATCTACAAAATGGGAACTCATACATCTCCCAGGCCTCGGCAACCGGCTCTGTAAACCTCGGAGAAACTCTTAGACATGTGCAAACAGAGAGGCACACACAGATGCTGCTAACAGTCCCAAATGGGGAACAACCCACGGGTCCCTCAACAGAAGCCTGGATAGACACAGGCATGCACTGGAACACAAGAGCACAGTGAACCATAGTTGCCCACGGATGAGCCAGAGATGGCATAGGCAAAACAGTTACACTGCCACTAGGGATGCCCACATCACACATCAGAATGGCTGGTTTGAGTCCCCAGCTACTCTGTGTCCAGTCCAGTTTCCTGCTAACGTGCACCCTGGGAGGAAGCAGGTGATGGTTCAAGTATTTTGGTCCTGGCCACCCACATGGCATTCCAGGTTCCTGGCTTCAGCCTGGGCCAGCCCTGGTTGTTGTAGCCATTGGGGGAGTGAACCAGTAGATGGAAGATCTCTCTTTCTTTCTCTCTCTCTCTCTCTCAAAAATACAGAGAAAATAAATCAAAATTTTAGACAAGAATTACAAAGTTATACTATATTCTTCCATGCCTGTAAAGTCATCAGAAGACAATATTCAACTGTATCATCTCAGCGTGCAAACACAGGTTAAGTTCATTTGAGAAAGGCAAGAACACTGTGCACAGGAAAGTCAGGACAGTAGGTCTCCTTGGGGTGGGAGGTTCCCACAGAGGAGGGATGCCTACGGGGGAAGGCGAGCCCCAGACAGTTACTCTGTGACTTCATCACACTCTCCTGATTTTCCATGAAATTTTAAGAGGGCTTGTAAAGAGAGCCTGTGTTGGGGGGCTCGAGAGCACAGGGGCTGGGTGCCTGGTACCTGTATTTCATCTTCTGGATTTTCAAGGAGAGGTTTTTCAGGACCAGGTTCCGTGTGGTCTCTTTCCCCAGCTCCCAGTCCTTCCACTGCAGCTCCTCAGCCACCTCAATGCCCCAGATGATCCTCTTCTTCACTCTGTCCTGTTTCTTTGAGATGCACACCTGAGTGTCCATGGGGCTGGCAGGCTGTTCAGGTGGTGAGGAGGAAAGGGAGAAGAAAGGAGACATTGGATGTTAGGAAGCAAGGACCAGGAGGATGGGCAAAGATCTCTCCCCCTCCAGCACACAGTGGCGCTGCCACTTGGTCCGGGGAGAGGTGAGGCATGAGTCAGCCTTACTTCTTCCAAGGTCACTGGAGCCGTTTGCAGCTAGAGCCCCTGCTGCCCCAGATGCCTTCCCAGGTCATCCCACCTGGCATCCAAACGCAGCCTCGGCCGGCCTGTTCAGTGCCTCAGTGCACCTCAGCTGCCTCTCCTGCAGGTGCTTCCCCCTCTTCTTCTTTGCCCCTCTCCAGCTCCTCCCTACAGAAGCCCCTCCCAATGCAAATGGTCCATCCCAGGTGCCTTCCCAGACTACAGGGACACTCCACAGTTCCCTCTGCACCCGTCACCTGGCTGGCAGAGCAGAAAAAGGAGCTAATTTGCCTGCAAGCAACACCCTCGTGTGCTTCTGGGGCCACTCCAATATGGTCCTGGTGACGTCAGACAGGTAGTACACCTACGTTTCCTGTCTCCAGTGGAAAAATGCTTCCACAGGCTGATCCATAACTGCTATCTCTCCGAGGAGAGAGATATGGAGAGGCGTGGAAAACCACTCAGGGACAGGAAGACAGAGCGAAAATCAAATAGGTGTCTTTCCCTACCATAGCTCAACTCGTGGCTGTTTTGTCTTTGATCAAGTCTTGCTTTTCCATTGTAACATACACAAGCGTGTAGCCATCCATCCCACAAATATTTGCTGACCATCTATTCTACACTGGATACAGAGCTATGTGCTGGAACCATAATGGCAAGCGTGACAGGTAAACCCTTCCTCTCTCAGTGTGTATACCCTTGGTACACACACAGTGTGGGATGGGCAAGATGAGATTTTCTTCCCCCGTTTGCACATGGAGGAGAGGTGACATGATGAGGGAAGGTAATGTTCTGCAAATATCACTTATAGCATCAGTCAGGATCCAGCCAGGAAAACAGAAGCCACTCTGTGGCTTTAAAACAAGGAATTTGGGGGCCAGCGCTGTGGCGCAGTGGGTTAACGTCCTGGCCTGAAGCGCCGGCATCCCATATGGGCGGCGGTTCTAGTTCCAGCTGCTCCTCTTCCAATCCAGCTCTCTGCTGTGGCCTGAAAAAGCAGTAGACGATGGCCCAAGTCCTTGGGCTCCTGCACCCATGTGGGAGACCTAGAAGATCCTGGCTCCTGGCTTCAGATTGGCCCAGCTCCAGCCATTGCGGCCAAGTGGGGAGTGAGCCATTGGATGGAAGACTTCTCTCTCTGCCTCTCCTCTCTCAGTGTGTAATTCTGACTTTCAAATAAATAAATAAATCTTAAAAAAAAAAAACAAGGAATTTAATGCATGACCAAGGAATAGCAAGGTAACCCAAGAGTTAGTGGCATCAAGATGCAGTCACACGCCTTGCTTACGTGGTGGCTACAGACACTTCTGACACGAAGTGGAGGCACAGGAGATGCTGTCAAAAGCAGAGAGAGGAAGAGAAATTCCATGACTTTTCCCTTCTTCTACTGTCCCACGCCACAGCCACCACCTTGAATAACTGTACCATCACACGGCGAGAGAACCAGAAGAGTTGCAAAAAGCCAATATCTACACTTCGGTAAACCCCAAAGTCCGAAGGGTCAAGGCCAGAGGAGCTTTCTGAGGGCAGACAGAAAACACTGGGCACCTGGGCAGCCTCCCACCTGCCCTTCTCCGGGGCCCTCCCTCCCCCGACAGCCCCTCGCAGCTAGCTCCCTGCCATCAGCGCACCAGTCTGCTTGGAGCCGCGTCTGTGCAGCATGGAGCGCTGCGGTGTCGACGGGAGACCCTGAGTTTCCCAGCCCCTGCCCTGGGCACTAGTCAGCCCCTCACCTGGGTACTGCCGCTGCTGCTGCAGGCGCTCATAGCGATGCTGCTGCCATCGAGGGTGGGCATGGCCACCGCGCTGCCACTCAGGCAGGAGCCGCCGGAGTTCCTGGTGTAGTCCCCGCTCTCCCTGGTCCTCATGGTGGGGCCTGGGGATGCCTGGACGAGCATCCGGCTCCTGAACACAAGTGCAAGAGGAGCACTTGGGCTAAGCCAGCAGTTCCTGCCTGGTCCACGTCCGAGCTTGGAGTTGGGAAGAGAGTGGAAGGGACATGAGAAAGCAGTCGAGGGCAGAGACTCGCTGTGGGCATCACTGACACGGAGGAGGGGGGTCTGTTCCTAGCCATGGCAACGGGGGAAAGGGGGCACCACAAGCAATGAGACTGGATACGGATCTAGGGCTTTGTCCAGGAGTCTTGGGACTTGGGAAAGGCGCTTGAAAGAGGGACTTGGGGTGAGGCCCACGTGGCCACGCCCCTCTGTGGCCACACGCGGCATGGCCCAGCACGCACATTACCTTTATCGGGGTTCTGCTCCCTTGTTTCCTCTGACTGTGTCCTGCCTCCTGGGAGCAGGAATAAGAGGCAAGGAAGAGGCACGTGAGGCAGGCGGGTTCTTGGTTCTCTGGATTCCTTCTACCAGGGCACCACCTGTAATCCAGGTTGAAAGTCAACACTCGCTGAAACATCAGAGCAGTCCAAGGATAAATGAATGCATCTCTAAAGCTGAGGGACCCCCAGATGGACTGCAGCGGGGAGATGGATGCAAATATACGTGGTGCATATGCCACTGCTTAAAAGGCTGCTAGGTTTTGCTTTAGGGAATTCGAAATGTCTCCAACGGGCTCTGGCTCTATCCCCTCAAATCCCTGCTTCCTCCAGCTGACCCCCTCTGTCATCCCCAGCTTGTGTGACTTTGCCTCCTGCAAGGCTACGTGCTTTGGGCCCACAGTGTCCCCCCACCTCAGACATACCAAGGCCAGCCCCGCGCAGGCCGCTCCCAGGAGCCCCCCCCCAAAAAAAAGATACAGCTCTCACTTCCCTTTGCATTCATTTTGGAGCCATCACCCACAAGTCACCACAAATCACCTTCCCCAGATCGAACACGGGCCACAGCTGCAATTTAAAATTTTCTAGTAGCCACCATGAAAAAAACTCAAAAGCAAGAGGTGAAATTAATTATAATAATATATTTTATTGAATCCACCATATCAAAGAATACTATTCATTTACTATATAACCAATCTGGAGTCATTAAGGAACTGTTTCAGATTTTCCCCACTAAGTCTTTGCAATCTGGATACTTCACGCCACAGAACTCAGTTCAGAGTACCTGCATCTCAAGCACACAGAGCTCCATAACTGCTATTCCAGGAAGTACTGTAAGGTCTTTACAACTATTTTAATCCCTACAACGGTTTATGATTTCATGTGACTTGCCCGCCACTTGACCTAAAATGATCTCTTTTCAAGCCTGCGGTTCGGCTCCTTATTAGAAGGCATTCGGATTTAGTCATTATCTTTACAGTGGGAATTCACACACTTCCACTGGACACCTCCGCCCCAGAGGGAGACTCTGTGGGCTCAGTTTTTGCTCACCGGCAGCATTTCCAAACCCTCTGGAGGGGACCATCTCAGATTCACTCGCGCATTCCTTTCACAAAGTGCTTACTGGGCGCCTACTGTGGGGCAGCCCCTGTGCCGGACGCTGGAGAAGACAGGGACGACTCTTACGTTCACATGTGAGGTGGGCGTTCAGAAGGACTCAAAGAAACGCAAGCTGGGGAGACAGGGAGAAGAGTCCCTCACTTTTCCGCCACTGGGCGGCTCTGCAGTCCGGCTGACTGAGGAGTGGCTCTGGCCTCGGGGACTTCTACACACACCCATCCCCCTGTGCTCTGGGCTTCTGAAGAAGCCTCCACTGGACACACGCAACGACCCCAGGGAGATGGGGAACAGCGGGGTGCGAGGCGGGCCCAGTGGGGCTCTGGCATCGGTCCTGGGGCGAGGGAAGCTGGGGTCCAGCATCTCCTCAGACAAGTTTCTCCATCTCCGTCTCACCTGTAAAATGAAGATGACCCCATTTCACAAACTGATGTGACAAACCCACGTCACTACCACTAACCACAGCGTCCACATTAGCCTGCTGCTCTTCCAAAAGGTTTACCCTGCGAGGAGTCACTGGGCAAGTGAGGATGTTTGGGTTTGTTTCGATCCGATTTTTTAATCTCGAGGATTAAATTTTTTCCTATAAATTTCCTTTACTCGCCTGCTCTCTGACAAAAAAAAAAATTCCTAAACTGAGCCGTGGAAAAAGTGACGAGTCGTCCTGCAGAGTTGAGGGAAAAGGTAAGAAAAGGGTAAAATGAAGGGACAGAAAATAGACTTAGAGCCGCGTCTCTTTTCTTTCGGGATCCTCCGTCTGATGGATCTCGCCCACGTCAGTCCCACGGGGCTCTCGGAAGCGCATGCAGGGGACCCCTGACCACGAGTTCCTATAACAGGCTGTCTCCCGGGACCCATACCTTCCCTGGCCACTCGCGCAACTTCTGGGATCCCGGGACCAACGCTCGGAACTCACACCGCCGCCATGTTGCCGTCTCCATAGATACAGGACGCGCAGGACAGAGCGTCTCTTGGTGTCCCAGGGCAACGACGGCAGCCCGAATGAGCCAAGCTTCATAGAAAGCGAATGCCCCACCTACGTTTAGCGCCTACCGTCAGCTTTAATTCTTTGACTTTCCCTGCTAGTAGCCACTCTGGGCTTCTACCAGTCGCAACCCGATATATCCAATCCCCTAGCTGTCGTGAGGCCCCAGCAATGGCGACTTTAGTTCACAACCAAATTCATAGAAAGTTACTGGGCGGACTGGTCACCCAAATGGGAGTCTGTGAATCTTTTCACACACATGCTGGTGATATAGGGTCAGATCCTCAACCGCAGTTGTCGACTTAAAACCAGCCCATGAGTATTGGCGCTGAAGTGCAGTGAGCCGCCGCCTAAATGCGGGAATCCTATATGGCCACCGGTTCAACTCCTGGCTACTCCAAGTCTGATCCAGCTCTCTACTAATGCACCAGGGGAAGCAGAGGAAGATAGCCCAAGTGCTTGGGTCCCTGCACCCACGTGGAGGACCGGGAAGAAGTTCCTGGCATCAGCCTGATCCAGCCCTTTGGAGAGTGAACCAGGGAATGATCTCCCCCCCACCACCAACTCTGCCTTTCAAAGAAATAAATTAATCTTTTAAAAAATGACAGTCCGTGGTAACTTCTAATCTGCATCTTGCTTTGTGGGTGGGAAAGAACGTTGGTGCTTTTGGGCCAGGAGCATTTCTTCATGTTCAACATTGAGACGAGCGGCTCTTTTGAGGAGACCTGAAGGTTAATGCATGAAGGAAAAATCGTTACACATAATGTGGACTGGGGGAAGCCCATTTGACCATTTGCCGAGTGCGTGCACCTGCATGTGTGTGTCTGTGGCTGAAGATGTCTAGATATGTGGAGTCTCAAAGTTCCTTCGTGAGCAATCAAAGATGTTTCACTGTCCAGGAAGCGGATGTTTTTCTTCTCAGGTTGGAGGGCTGGGGGTATAGTCAGGGAGAGGGGACATCGGCAGTCTGGAGGTAAACCCAGACAGTAAGGTCTTACTGTGGGGTGCTTGGAGTGGGCTTGCGGACTCTGAAAGACAGCCTGAAGGGGCAAAGTATTCCAAGCTGGCCTGGGAGACCCCGTGGCCAGGGGAGGCCAGGACTAGGGGGAGGGGCAGCCCAGGCACCCCCACTGACTTAACCCCAGCACACCAGGCCTGCAGCTTGCCTGGAATCCAGGACTGTGGAAGTCAGTGTGCTTTCCCAGGTTTTAAAAGGACTCTCAGAATCTGAAACCCATACTTTGGACATGATGATGTTCGTGCTGTTTGTAGTTTCTTTAACAATCTCCTTTTTGTTTTTCCCTAAGTTCTTTTTGAAATGGTCACCCTGACTCAGCTGTCTGGTCTGAGGCTGAAAAAAAATAAGGAGCAAACTCTGCTCTGGGGGTGGAGTTTGGTGGTGGCCTCAGGAATCCCAGCAAGAAAACCCCGAGGTGGAGGAAAACCCATGTGTCCCTGTGTCAGCTTCTAGGGAGTGTTCCTCCTCAGCTCTCAACTGCCCGCACCGTGGTGGATCCTGGGCCTGGGACCATAAAAGTAGATGGTTGCTGCTCTCAGCAGGGCCCCTGTGGGCTCTTCTTCAGTGGATTCTAGCTTCTGCCTGGGAGCCCTGTTGGCCAATGATCTTGGCTGACATGGGGGACTCCCAGGGAAGGCACCGCCTGCTGGACTTTATCCAGGGTGGGGAACAGCATGGAATGAGGCATGGCAGGGAACTGGGCCTGAGGAGGGGCAAGAGGAAGCCAGGATTGCTTTGGAAGTCCCCCTTTCAGGAGCCCAGAACCCACAGGGGATAATAGGTGCTGGGCCCTGATCCTATCCTCCGTGGACCCCAAAAAGGCAATAAGGGAAGGTGCTGTTTGGTTAAGGTGGGTGATGATTTAGGACATTGAGGAGGATCAGGATGTAGAAGAAAGGAAAAAGGATGGGGGGGGGGAGTTGGGAGTGGGGAGAGACAGCCTCAGATCCTCCTAGACTGGAAGCTGGGCTTCCACGTCTGTAAAAGTTACCTTCCTCAGCCTTTTCTCCAAGTGTCTTCCCATACTCCTCATGGCATACAGAGGCTGGGCTGGGAAATCAGACAGACCTGGAATTAATCCTGAGAGTCTTGCTTACTGGTTGTCTGACCTTGGGTAAGTCACATGATCTTTCTGAACTTTAGCTTCCTCATCTGGTGCCTAGGATAATCTTCAAAAGTGGGTGTGAAGAGAGAATGACCAGGCCTGTGCCAAGCAATCAGCAGTCAGATACACAGATCCAGGAAGGTCACCTGCTAAGGGGAAGGTCCCTGCAGATAAGCCATTCACTCACTCTGTGCACCCTCCCCTTCCTGGCCTCTCTGCTGCACCCTGGAGAGGTGGGAAATCCTTCTCTCCACGTCGTTCTCATTTGTTTCACCAAGAAGGAGCCTGCCCTGCTGCTCTCTGAGGCAGAGAAAGATGGAAGGAGATGCCCTGCTGTCCAGGTGGAAAGTCCCCTCAGCCTCAGTCCTTAGTGCTCTGCCACCTTCCTTTGCCCTGGATGCACTCTACTGAGTGCTGCTACAGGTCTGCATCTCAAACGTCCTTGGGGAAGGGAGGTGAGAAGGTGGGGCTTTCCACCGAAGCTCTTGACCTGAAGAATGCCTAGGTCAGGTCATCTCAGCCCAGCTAGTGGGTAGAGAGGGAGACACTGTTGCTAAGCCCCTGGGATAGTTCTGGGCTAGATCTAGGAGCAAGTATGGAGCACTCTGCATTAGAAGGCCATGGTGCCTTGTAACTGTTGGGATGGGAGAGTTTTAACAGATGGGTAGTACCTCCAGGCTGAAGAGGCTCCCAGGGCACAAAACTGGTGAAAATTTTGGAGTAGACTACCACGTGTCAAGAGAGTTCAAAGGAAAAAAATTCCATTCTTTTGGTTTCAGCATAGAATTTCTAACATCCAAATACCAACCTAAGCCATCTAGATAACTTATTGCCTCTATTCATTGTCCCCACCACAGGGGAGAAAACACACAGGCCAACAGTAGGGGAATGGAGGGGAAAGGACATGGAGTTTGCTCTTGAAATACTCAAGTTCAAGTTCTGTTCCAACTTCTAGTAGCTGAGCAATGCTAGGCAATCATTAAACCTCCCCAAATCTCACTTTCCTCACTTGTAAAATGGAGATAAAAGAAAGTGGCACCCAAAATACCTAACAATTATTAAGGTATGGGTGCTGATCTGTGAGAAAGGACACCCTCAGGCCTTTGAGCTGAATCAAGGTCTTGGAAGCCCACATTGCACCAGGCCTTAACCCTTTAATTATTAGGTCATGAGGAAGCCTGGAGATGGAAGGAGTGAACAGCCAAAGTGGAGGGCCCAGTGACTGTTTTTTGTTTGTTTGATTTTGTTGCTTTTTTTGTTTGTTTTTACCCACTGCTACCAATCAGTATAGCTACCTGTACTAGTGGCAAGTCAGACATGAGGACAAATCCCTACCTCACAGGCTACTGTATATATTTACTTATTTCAACTTGAAGTATCTCCATCTCTGGCTTCTTCCTCGTTGGTGGAAGAGTTCTTACCACATCCAACTGCTCATTTCCCTCTAGTCTGATGAGGGTCCCTTCTCTGTGGACGCCCTCCCCTACACCGCTTCCTGCCAGCTCTGCAGCTACATGACTGTCTCTCTGACCAGCACCATGGACAGCGCCAGCTGATCAGCCCATCTTGAGCCATCCCCTTCCTCCTTCCTCCTGCCTCTGTCTCCTGTTCTTTCAGCCAATCCAGTCTAGAAATCCTGAGAGATGAACAGAATGAAGCTACCCCCATGAAGACAGTACAGTGGAGTGGTTAGGAAACAGCTCTGGAGCTAAGAAGATTGGATTTGAATCCCAACCCCAACAACCATGGGCTGTATAATTTGTCTCTTCCCTGCTGTAAGAGCCAGTCTTCACATCTGTAAACAGGGAGAACTCTGACAGCTACCTCAAAGGTGGTGAGGTTTGAATGAGAAAAATTTAAAGAATTTAGCATGACATCTGGCTCATTATAAGTTCCAAATAAATGAAGAATATTGTTATTCTATTGCTTTCCATCCTCTAATTCCTCAGACCCTTTCTGATCAATTTCTGACCACACAGCCCTCTCCTAAGTAAAAGAGTCAGAATACAGCCCCAGACTCAGGGAACGTGGCTTCCTGTGAGTGTGGAAGTTGCTTTGGACTCAAGTATAGTCAGGGAGCCCACTCCTTTGACTAGTTCATGTGATTTTTTTCATTAGATTTTTTTCACATTTTACATTTTTTGAGTTAATACTAAATGTACATCAGAGTCACAAAAATAGTACAGAAAGTCCTAGCTGCCTCCTGGATTCACATCTTACGTGACCCAAAACATTTACCAAAGTCAAAGATTTAAACTTGGTACATTAGGCCCTACTAACAAAAGAGCAGATTGATTTAGATTTTCCAAGTTTGTTCACTGATGTCCTTTTGCTGCTGCAGTATCTACTCTAGAATTGCACCCACCATCTGGCTGGTATGCTTTCTGGTGTCTTCCACTTGGGGCGTTTCCTGAGTCCTTCCTGACCTCTTGTGAGCCTGCTTCTTTTAACAGTTTGTCAATTATTTTGTAAGACACTCCTAGTTTGGTCTCACCATTTCTCAAGGTTTGAGTAAGCTTTGAATACTGGGAAGTAACACAGAGGTGTTACACCCTTCCCAGAGTATCATAGGAGAGAGGATACGGTGTCAGTACACATTTTTGATTATGTTGACCTTGATTGCTTGGCTGAAGTGGTGTCTGCAAGGATTTTCCACTGTAAAGTTGCTATTTTCCCTCTTATCATGCACATCTATTGCTTCTCTAGGATTAAGAGGTTGAACCCAAGAAACCTG